TGAGTGCTGTAAGGGTCTTCATGCTTGGCATTTCTCAGATTCACAGTAAGGCATGGTTTTAGTCACAGACTCACATGGCTTACACAAGTCTCCATCTGTCTGCATCTTGGTCTGTCCTTTCGGGTACTTGTTCTCAGACTTGAATGTTGTAACACTTTTACATGTAGCACAGAGAAATGCAAAAACCAGGATAGATTTGCTTTAGATCTTTTTTTTAAAAATACATTTATTTTTCTTGATCTCTTGTCCATGTTAATTAGCTTTGAATGTCATTTTAAGAACTTTTAGCTTATTTCACTTACAATAGTGTGTGTCAATTGTCTGATTGCCAAATAACAGCAGGGACAGCAATCACAGAATGACAGAAAGGTCCCTATTTGTATGAGCATAAAATCAACCCAAGCAACGAACTCTATTATACTCTTAAACTCCATAAAGTATACTAGAAACTGAAATGAAAGTAAATTTTAACATAAGATAAATATTAAGATGTTTTTGACTTTTCCATAAGCAATACTATAGTACTGTCTGGTGGCTGCATTCATTTTTAATGCCACTGAAATGTATATGTTTATATGTAATAGGCTTCCATTTGATATACATACTGTATTTGCTGTTCTCTGCATTTCTGGCTGAAATTGGAAAGTCAAACAGGTGAAAGCAACAGTCGCTAAAGAGTAGGCAAAAGTTACAGCTAAACTTAATGATTTTAGTATGAGTGTGGTTCTATAATTTTAAAGGTCGGGAACAATATTATTATTTTTATATTTTTTGCTGCTCGTAGAGTAAGTTCAAGAACCTTATTTGCCTTATTGTATTGTGTGGAATAGGTCATTTCCGTGCACTTGTGACCCATGTATTTCAGTTTTATTCTTTTTTATTTTTATATAGAGATATTGTTATTCTTTGAGTATTGTGTTCAGTTTCTATGATGGCTTCAATTCATGTTCTTAATTTTGCACTTTTAATTTTCTTTCCAAAGCAAAGGCAAAGTACAGGAGCTAAATATATAAACTGTGTAACGGGTATAGTTCAGAGGTTCTGCTGCTATAAAGAAATAACCTACTGGAGTGCAATATTCTACAGAAATATTGATGTTGGTGGTCAATATTTGGGCAACTGTAGCTAGTGATGTTTGTGAGCTTTGTTGGATATTAATAATGTTTGACAGTACAGCCTTCATAGTTCACAGCAAACATCACTAAAAAAGAAACAGGGTTCTTTAAAGTTTCAGATGACTGAAGTACAAGGAGTTTTGCACCTTTTGTCCTGAATCGTCTTGTGTTCTGTGCTTGTGTTCTTGTGTTTTAGTCACTGAGCTTTTTCCTAAAGAAAACCTGCCGCTGAAGGGATTTTATGCACAGAGAATAAGATACTTCTGTTTGTTAGCTGGTTTGATAAATTGTCCTTTGCTTTATTGAATGTAAACACTGTAATGTTTAAACAGCCCACAGTTACATGAATTGTATCTCCTGCAAACATTTTCTTACACTTCACCTAACAGAGTACTTAAGTGCTGTGTGCTAGCACCAAACAGCAGTCAGAATGTGACAACAGCAACAGGGTACCTTAATGAAGGGAATCATGACTTCCACAAGCATAACATATTTCTGAGCTTACAATGGCCATAGTTATCAATGTGGATTACGAAACCAAGAATATTTAAGTAGAATAACTAAAATGTCTTCCAAAAACATAAGAAAGATGAGGGTGTTAATAACTAATTACCCAGACCATTAGAATTACATAATAATTAGAGTGAGAGTTTCTTTTTCCAGGATTCTTAAGAATTTATCTATATTTTAATGTTGTTCTGAACAACAAAGGAACTATTTAAAAATTTGACAGAAGGTATTTAGAATAAGGTTGGTGTACAGTGAGTCTCTATGGTGAGGCAGTGCTAGCTTTCAGTTTTCGGTGTGAAATTCCAGTTAACTTATTTATGTGTTAAACCGACACTGTTCATTCAGATATCACTTCACATTGAACCTTGGACAGTGAATGGATTCACTCTGCAAAAGGCTCTCTTTTCTGTAAATTACACTACTTTAGCCATTACAAATAATGTATAACGAATGTACGTGTTCCTTTTTGAAAAAGCTGCTGAATTTTTTGAGTGGTTTGACGTAATCTTCTTTGCATTCATTCGCATGTGTTTTAGTAATTGTAAAAAAAAATAGCCCATGCTGTTTTTCACAGGAGCTGCGTCTGTTTTAGACAAGAGGTGCTTCATGACAGCTAGAACTCCCTGGGTCCCTGCCATTGGGCTCATTTTACACAGTGACCCAACAGGACCCTGGGTAGGGTGAAGGAGGCTGTTTTGGCATTAACCTCTTCGTCCTCTCTGCAGAAACCCTGCCAATCCTGGAAAATACATCAGACCCCCAAGAAATGGCAATCTGCTTTCATGAAGCACTTGAACGTTAAATTTATTTTTTCTCTCGCTTTTGTATTTTCCTACTGGTAAAAAGATACTCACGGATCAGTGACTATAAATGGGGTTCAAACAAACCTGCGTTATCACTTTTTTGATTAATTACACATGTAATCATTTATATTGATCATATGTCATTTTCGCCTTTTGGTTTGTCAAACAATGCTACTCTCCTCTCTAATAAGCTGTCATTCTCTATGTGTATCATGATAAGCACTTTGAGATGATTGCTTTTAAAGGTGCTATATAAAATCCGGTTTATAATGTCTAATGCTAACTAGGACTATTCTCAGTGGCTCAATGAAGTATCTGGCCTATTGTCAGATATTTATAGTTCTGCCTTAATATATACGAGCATAGCCTGAGGTTGAAAAAAGAAAGTTGTTGTATGTCCAGTTCGGTGGACAGATTTAACATGAATGAAATTATTATCTATATATCCAGACAGAAATTACAAGCACAAGTGAAATTAATGTCTGAATTAAAAAAACAACATATTGGGTTTTCTTGCAGAAGTCATTAGGCGGTTCAATCAGCTACTGAAAAATAATTACTTTTCAATATTTAACCAGTAATGCTGTATTTCACAAGGGCTGAAGACATTCCTGAATGGTCAGAAACATCAGAATGAACATCTTGCTTGTAGAGCTGTACAAGTTTCGTATTTGTACAGTATACATAACATAATATGAGAAAGCCTAAAGTGACACAACTACAGAAGACAGATTATTAAATGTTGTTGCCAGAGACTAGAATTCGGTGGGAAGTGACAGTACAACCTCTGAGATTTTTATTAAAATGCACTTTCTGCTGGGTCCAGAATAACATGGACTCTTGGGTTCTTTAAAATGATAACTGCAATAAAAATAAATTATTCCAAACACCCAGCACCCTAAAAAAATAACTTACATTTTCATGGGACAATTCCGTTTTGAACTCAGTAATTCTTTCTTACCTATTTTCCTACTAAACAAACAATTTTAAAATCAGCCAAATTGCCATAGAGCCTGATAATGCCTGTGACTCATATCTAAGTGTGGTGGGTATTGGTGGACAGTCAGGCAGAGTAATGAAGAACAAGAAAAACTTAAGGTACTGTAGTTTGGTAAGAGTGTAGATTTTTATGTTTATTGTTCTGCCCTTTCATTTATTTTACCATTCAGCAACATCACAGGAATTCATGTAGAATGTTTTCTCTGCTGTATTTGCGTTATCATCTTTAGACATACTCAGCTCTGTCAGTTTCTTGAGGCCCGCTGTTCATTGTTTTGACTGAGAGCGTAAAATATCTGTGGATTATGTAAATCCATCGCTACACATGTAGTAAGCTTGTAAAATAAACAAATTGGCTAACATTTACCTCCCAAAAATATACCGGCATTGAAATAGCAGTTGAAATTTTGCGTTTCTATGCCCTGAATTGTTGTTTTTTTAAATGCTGCTTTGGTACATTCTGCACTATAGATTAATGTTTTCATGTTCTGAGGAGCATGATCAAATATTTTAATTCTTAACTGAAAGTTGCACTTAGTGTTATTGCAGCAAAGTGATCTGTGAGTGTCTTTTCATTCTATATTAAAAAAACAAACCTTTCAGAGGTACTGTATGTAATCAGTTTTGTATCGCAATAACTGTACAGTAGGCCTGTAATATCTATAAGTAAAGCATGTATTTTAATTTTTAAATAAAGATTAGAGTTGTACATATATATATAAATATTAACGGCATTACATGTATATTAGCATGCAAGAAATCTGCTTACAGGCTGTATATATGGCAAACCACTGTATCTAAGGATAAACTTGAAATCACAAATGGGCTGAGTGATTTAAAAAAAAACGCTGTGCAATGGATTTTTTTGTGCCTTTTTTATTCATGTATGTAATCTAGACAATCTTGAAAAGCTTGTATACAACCAAAATATTATTAAAGGATTTGGGGGTGGACTTTAAAAAGAAACTTGTCTTTTTGGTTGTGATTTATTTCGTTTCCACAATAAATGTAAAGAGCTAGTTAAGGAATTTGTTATATCCTGTTTGGATGGTTTTCTGTGTTATTCTTTTTTTGTTACTTTGCTTACTGTATGTCATTGGCCAACTTGAATAAGTGTGTTGGCTGTCCAAGCTTGTGAAGTGGCTTCATTAAGGCCAGTGCACATAGGAAGGAAATTATTTTTCCGGTTCCTTTGGAGGCCTGTTTTGCTTGCTATTGAGCTGCACTGATGCATTGCCAACAGAATCGGCACACCAAATAATTATACCAAATAGATAACACATATAATTAATAATATGTATTATACTATATAATAAAACATGTAATAAACAAATATTACTATACTAAGTATGTTTTTACGGTGTGCACATCAGTTTGCTATGGTTTCTCATATTTTCTCTGTATTTTTTTCAAATACAAAAACCAAAGCAGTTTAACTACAGATGTCATCGACCCAGTCAGTGGTTTTTGGTTCTACAGTGGGGAAAAATACAGCTGGAGCATAGGCAGATTTTTCTGAAATGCACATGTTTTCACTGGATCAGTAATCACGTCTTGTCTGGTTTCGCTGCAGGTACTGTCGCCCAAACCTTTTGAGCAGAACGGTCTGCCTTTGCCGGTGCCTTCTTTGCCTTACCAAGACTACAGATCAAAGGACCTGGGCCTTGAGAAGGAGCCTGTCAGGCTGCACGGTCTCCCCCAGCAGCGGCAGAAGAGAGTCGATTTCCTGACCATCGTGTTAACCGGTGTCTTGCCACACCGCCCCGACTTTAGCACGGATGTCAAGGACAAAGACGACGCAGACATGCGGAGGGCTGGGGCCGAGCTGCAGAGCGAGTCGAGCAGCGAGCCGAGCCAGAAAAGCACCGAGCGGAGCCAGGACGGAGCCCCCTCCACGCTCCTGGCCGACGACCAGAAGGAATCCAAGGGCAAAACCTCCACGGTGGAAGGAGACCTGGACATGGAGGAAGGGTCCAAAACGCTCGTTCTGTTTTCCCCGGGCGACATGCGGAAGTCCCTTGCAGCGGGTGATCTGGCCCCTGATGCCGACCTGGGCACGATGGCCGCCGTCACGCCTCAGAGCGAGAGGCCACAGCCCCTGGGGAGCCAGCTGGATGTCTCCGAGCCAGGGACGCTGTCCTCGGTGCTGAAGTCGGAACCAAAGCCCCAGATCGCGGCCACCGTTGCTTCCTCTCAGTTCACCAAAGTCGAGCGCACTTTTGTCCATATCGCCGAGAAGTCGCACCTAAACATTATGTCTTCCAGTGGCCAGCAGGTGAGGCAGGATGACTATGTCTTCTTTGGTCCAGCAGAGGAACCCTCGGGTGAAGGGGATCTCCCAGAGAAAGAGGCCCCGAAGGAGAATGGAGAGCGGAGCTCCTCGGAAAAGGAAGCAGGGCCAGAGAGCTCTGCACAGGCCGCTGCCCCGTCTGAAGCTTCGACTCGGAGCCCCACGGAGGAACCCAAGGTCCAAAACGGCTTTGACATCTCCACCGAAAATGAATCGGAACCGAAAGCTGAAGACATTCCTCCTCTCGTCTCCCTGGAGTCTGAATCGGTCATCGCAGAGATCTCTCCGGTGGTGCACCAAGAGCGTGAACCCGAAGAACCAAAAGAGGCCGTTTTGCAGGTAGAACACAAGGCTGAGCCCCCAGAGAAAGCTGTGATAAGCAAGCCCCCCAGGGAACAATATAAAAGCCGAATACCTGTTTTGGTTTCTGAAGAAGACACCGGTTCGGATCACTCAACTTCCCTCCCTTCCAAAGAAAGAGTCCACAAGAGGCAAAAGCAGCAATATCTGGCTCGATTGATTATTGAGAAACGGCAGGGACGCTTGATGAGACTGGCTTCAGGGGCATCGTCTTCAGCCTCCTCCGAGGAGGACCGCAGAAGAGTGTCAGAGACGCTGTCAGCCACAGGTTCTGAAGAGGACACGCATGACTCTGATGACTCCTTCACCAAGAAAGCTTTCGGTCTGAAGCCCAAATCCTCGGACCAGGATCTGGAAAGGCAGCGGCCCAGGAGCAGAATTCCTCGTCCCATCACGCCTTTAAAAAAGGTTTCACCCCCTCCAGTGTCCAGTGGCCCATTATCTCAAACAGGACCCAGCGTCTCGAAATCTCCACCTCCAGTTGTAAATAGGTATGTATTATAGCTTTCTGTATCTACCTAGAAGTGCTTAGCTCCCTTTTTTCTCTGTAAGTGGGGAAATGGGGATATATTGAACCACAATTTTCCATGAACCGCGTTCTCATGATGTTACTTGGCCTCTTCCAAACAACTACTGTATATTGTAAGATCTGCACCATGAAGGGGTGGAATTTGGATCAATTCCAAACAAGGTTATGGGTATCAAGTCCCCTTGGCCTACATCAACACCAAAATAGGATAGCATGCAAACTACAGTATCATAAATATAAACATTAACAGTGATCACACTGAGCTGATACAGCTCCCTCAATTACTGTATGTCATGTCATTGTCAAAGGAATGTGTTCTGTGTGTAACAAACTTATTTACACCACAGGTAGAAGACTTTATTTGCATGTACATGTTTGCATTACATACAGTATGTACATGTCAAATGGGATACTTATTTGCGCCTGTAAAACGACTAGTAACATTCAGGACGTGCAGAGAACAACAGATAACACCACACAACATAGACCGTCATTAATTCTGAGGCAATGCACAGTTAGCTGTTAAGAATGTGCGCTGCCTTAGGGTAGACGCTATTCTTAAGTCTAGTAGTTCATGTTCAATGGCGCGGTACCTCTTGCCAGAGCGCAGGGAGGAGAATGTGGTGCAATGTTTACAAGGTACAGTTATTTGAATAGACCAGCCAATTCGATTGGGTCCTGATACATTCCAACCTGTGTGAATGCATAGGTTGTCTGGCTCAGGCAACTCTGAACTACTGGAACTCAAGGGTCTTGAAGGTGCTGTGTTTTCTAGATGAATTCATGTTAAATTGTATGGCCTGTTTTGTATCATTCACCACAACAGGAAGTGGTCCAGAGTTTCAACGGGTATTTTATTAATGGGATCTCAGATTAGTCTTTATTTAGCAGGAGCTGTTTTTCCAGGTAGTTTGTATAAAGGTAATTGCAAAAAGATAAAGCAGTTACATGCACGAGTATAAATAACTGTTGCACATTGTGTCATTGATGTTACAATATGAAATGTAGTACAAAACAGGATACAGAATAAGTAATAGAAAAGAAGAGCACCAAGATAATATGACCAAAAGAAAAACCATTTATAGTAATTATCATAAGATAATTATGATCACACTGAGCTGTGTGACAATTATCATAAGAGTAAAATATTTTACTGCCTTCCAAAAAAGGACAGACTTACCTTTGTTTCCTGACTTTTCCAGGCTTCAGATGCAAAAACCAGGGAATGCAGGCATGAATGTCCATTACGACCTGAGGTCAAAACCGATGCAATCTCAGCCCCAGCCTTCGGCCAGCCCCGCCCTGTACCGCGGCAGCCCCCGAATGCCAGTGCGCGGGACGTCCCGGGCCCCTGTGGCCCCGCCCCCGCGCAGCCTCAGCGCCTCGCCGCGCGGCTTCTCCGCCTCCCGGACGGACAGCCCCTCCCCGTCGCGCCAGCGCCGCCCGCCCCAGGCCGCGGAGGTGCGTCGGCAGCTCATTTCGTTCCGGGCGAACACGGCGGCCCCGCTCAAGCCCAGAGCCCCGCCCGAGGACCCCACGCTGCCGCCCCCTGCCAGCAGCAGGCCCGCCCGGAAGCCCAGGCCCCAGCCCCTGGCGCAGCTCACCAGGGGGAGGCGGGAGGCCGCCGAGAGCAAGGCTGCCGCCAGATAATAACTCACTCTGAAACCGCCAGCCGCCCGACGGTAACGTCCTGCTTCTTTGTCTCCTTCAGAAGTCCAGCTCGCCTCAAGGTCTCCGCCCCAGGCCAAATAAACATTTCAGGTTTCTGTCTCATCCTGCAGGGCCGTAGGTGTCTGCTCGGTTTCCTCACTGGACACGGCACAAATGACACGGATTAGTGTTGACGATGCGGGGCCGTGTCACCAAAACTAGCTCAAGTGCAAAAAACGGGCACGGCTGCAATCGACCCCAACTGTTACCAACTGTGTATCGCTCTGGCATCGTGGCCCTCTGACACTTGTGCGGTCTCATTAGCGCACAGTTCCTGACACACTTACTGGCACCTCGTGTCTTTGCATTAGTTCACCCGCTAGGCAGTGGTTCTCAGTCCAAGCCCGGGGGCGCCCCTGTGTCTGCTGGTTTTCTTTCCAGTCGGGCCCTTTATTATCAGTAATCCCTGTTGTACGTGTTTGATCTGCTTGCCTTTTTTTTTTACTTTTTTTCTGCACTCAGTCCTTGATTTCAAAAGAACCCCAACATCCTGTTGCTGTTCCCATAACATTTGTTTTTTATGGGACAGGGTTGTTAGTCTTGTGCCCGACCTCCAACATGGAGGAGCTGGTGCCCAATGTGGGACACGAACCCACTACCCTGAGGTTAGAGTCTCATGCTCTACCAACAGAGCTAGTCGGGGCGCCGATTCTATTATACCTAAATTATATTAATATGCTATATATTATATTATTATATTTTCTCCAACAACTTCAAAGTACATAACTTTGTGACGTTTTTTCCACAAATTACCAATTGAGAATTTTGTTTTTCACATTTCTGATTAAAAACTCCCTCTTTATGATGAACAGAATGATAATGTACCAAACACTCTTCTTATGTCCAGCTGGTCAAAGTTTCAGCTCACACACCCCTGAATGAGGGGAGTTCAGAGGCGCAGGAATTGGCAAAACATTGATACCAATAACATGTCCCTCCCAAAAACCAAAAACGTATTAAGTGCTGAAAGCAGATTTAAAATGTGCTTCAATTAAAGATGAAAATTGCAGTCACTTAGCCTGCAATTAAGAAGTGAGCTGGAGCAACAGCCAGCAGACACAGCAGTTCAGGAGTAAGAACCATTGAACCACAACATCCGTATATGATCCATAAACACAGAGAAGGTGTCATTGAACAATAAATGGAATTTCAAAAACATGGATTATACTATCTAAATGATTGAATAATGTTGCTTTAGATATAGGGTCCCCAACAGTAACTAAAGCAACTAAATTCCTACTTATGACAATTTAAGTTGCAATGCAAATAAGATCTACTCTGTCAACCTTGGCATTGCCCCTTCAATTCATCATTAGACGAAATCCCAACAAAAAGTATTAGCAGAAATAAAAAGGAACAGACTAATTCATAACGTAAATCCAATCTCATCATCCTGTCTGTCCTTGTTGAACAAAAACAAGGTGTCTTTTCATTCCAAATTCATAGAAAGTAATCCGACATGTTAAAGATATTAATGACATGCAAGACACCTTGTTAGTATTATGAGAGCTTCCAGGATATTCTTTCTTCATAAGTAGGACATGATCGTTTGTGCTAAATTGGTTAATACAATCATTTCATTTTGGGACCACATTTTTTAATTAATATGTATTGCTTCCATGACTGAATCGAGGTAATTTTAGGCAGCTTTCTTTTCGTTCTGAATACTTCTGCCAGCAAGCCCTTGTCAAATAGTTGTGGATGTCTTCTCATCTTCTGACGTGCTTGTAGTCAATATGTCTCACAGGAGCTGATATTGTTCAATACATATGTGCACTTTCACAGCATTTTGCTTGTTAACTCCTGCAATTCCATTAAAGTGAAGTACAAGTACTCACTTAATTCTTTAAGTTGTTACTGCTGCGTATTCCATACACCATCTGCAGTTTATTGTTTAACACAGAAAATGTACTTATCACATATTGCAGCCAAAGATCCTTAGAGAAATGTATTTCTAATCTAGAGAGGTATCTTACATGTGGACCATGTTATGTGTAGTACTGTAGTACTATGCACCTGAACACCAGAACGTCATCATTTATTTTGAGCTCAGTATTATCCGATATCACCTGTGTGTAAGTCCAGAGCACTTACACCTGAGAGGTTCAAAGTAAAACGCAGCCCTTCTGTGAAAGCTGTGAATTTTTGTGTGTGGTATAGTTGTTTGGGGACTGCAAGAGGTCAGTTCTTGTCCATTTCTACTCTAGCGCAGCAAAGAGATAGCTGCAGCACTCCTTATTTACTGTATGTTTTTCATGATAGGAAAATGTTTTTCTCAACCTCACTTTAAATTCACCGTGGACAAAATCAAACCATTCAGATGTTCGACAAATGAAGTGCAAAAAATGGTGGTCATGGTGTTACAAAGGAGTGTAATTTAATGTTCATTTAAATATAAATTGTATTTAAAAATGTATATTAATAGAATGTTCTATTTATTTATTCAATTATTTAATTATGCATGGCTTCAGGCATTACCTTCAAATTAGTTCTGAATAAGCATAGTGAACCTGAAATGTTTGTTTGGTCTAAGGGGAATTTATGTATATGTACATGTATACTGTATATATATATGTGTACATATGTATATGTATATAAATTCCAAGGTTTTGGAATATGCAGCACTGAACCAAGCCCTGACTTTTGTTATAAGCCTTCCATTAAAATGGGCATGCCTTTTAATAATTCACAACTCATTTTTGGTGTTTAGTAATAATAATTTAAGTAAAGTCTGTACTGTATATAGAATAATTATTTCTGAAAAAGAAACATTTTTATTTTTATCTGGCCAGAAAGAAAAAAAGATACAAAGTATCTCTTTATTTCTTTTTTAAAGGCATTTGGGTGTTTATGACGTTGAGCAAAATAGAACACATGCATGAACACCCATGAGGACTAGACCGTAACACGAAAAATACTGGTATCAGTCTTCAGTGTTCTGAGTCGCATATCTGTCTGTGATTGTTTGACAGTGGGTTTGGTAGAAAAAGTATTAAATTCCTGAGAAGTCAACAGAGGAGAAAGCAAGGCGATGCACAATGATTCAGATTCATTGTGATGCTATTTCTGGTATAGATCAGTAAGTGAAGTGGGGAGACATAAGGTGTTGGGGTTGATGGTTTAAGAGTTTATTCCACTGACAGGTCCTCAGTGTCACTGAAGTAAAGAGAAAAGCAGACTGTATTTAAGTTACCAAGACATACTAATCAATTCAGCCTGGGACACCCAGGAATAATAATCAATCTTGAACTGGTCTCAAATCACCCACTCTGAATTCTAAATAGAAAATGTGAACCACAGGCATCAGTGTCTTCACACACATAACACTGCCTAATGTAAAACCGATTCTAGTCTTCTTTGTTTTAGTAATAATAGCAGGCTGAATAAACTCCTGAAACAACAAAAACGAAAATGTGTATGCCTTACTAACATAATAACTGAAGTTGTATGTTATTTGTTAAGATTTGAATAATGACCCTAAATAAGATAATGGTTCAGTGATAAATAGTGTATTCTAAAAACTCTTGAAACTTTTTTTTGTTCCTCTTGGAGTCTGATTCCATTGTGATATTCTAAGTCACCATTGGCACATAAGAGCATATAAAGGCTACAAACATGCATAAGACAGAAACTAGCCTAGAGGTATGTAAATGAAAGGCCTTCAGGAACACAGCTGAGTAGCTTGTTCAAGACACATGGAAACCCAAAGCAAAACAGCTGCAAAAGTGCAGTCTTTCCTCAGCGTCGTTCTCGAATTCTTACTTGAAAAACACTTGTTTAAAGTTAATTAATTCACCTTTCATTCTCCATATTCTCCAAGTATTATCCCTGAGACTCTCCATTCTTTACTGCTCTTGTGCTGTTATTGAAACATCTCCATTGCAATATTCTTATATATTCTGCAATATTCTAGCTCCCTTTTGGCCTGATCTCTTTTTTTATTTTTTACCTGTGCTTGCAATTCAGTATGCTTCTTTTCTTTAGCTGGGTTTAAATCATTTTTCTTTTTAATGTATTTTTAAACCATTGGATCTAGTGCTTTCTTTGTCATTGCTCTCTACCTACACTTCAGATCAATCCGCTGTGTACTTCATGCAGAATATCTTTAAAATGTCATCTGCTCTCCATATCTATCCTATCCCATTCAGAGTCTCTAATATGGTTGCAGTTTTTCTCCCCCTTCTTGCACTCTGCCTTGTTGTTTGAAAGTACTAGCTTTAGTAGTTTTCAATGCTTTAGTAGACGTTCTGACACAGCAAGAGCATTAGTTGTGTCGGCACAGACAACAGCTAGGTCTTCTGTTCCAGACAGATCCAGTTAGATCCTTACACATGAAAGACCATTAATAAGCCGTACTTTTGTATGCTTTAAAGCCTAAATAAACTTTAAACACATTGATAGTGACATAATTCGAATTTACCATCCTCTTTTATGTCCTATCAGTTGTCAAAGATTTCTCCAATCTGTCATGGAGGGACAATAATTCTTATTCTTGTGTGTTACATAGAAACATTAAATCGTCGTTCAAGAGTATACTTGAGACAATCCTATCAAACAAACCAAACTGGAATGTTTTTAGAAAAAGAAGTGTCTTATTTTCCTTTATCAATCTCTGTATTAGCAGTTTGTTAGACTTTTGACCATAATCCACTCCATTGCTTTGAGGTCTGCTAGTTCACACCTCTCTAAATCCTTCTTATTAGACTGGCTTTTTGCTCCAAATCATAGTGTTGTACTAAAGTTCTGAAGTGTCATTGTTATTTCTAATTTCTCCTAATTACTGTATACAGTGTGTGAAAACTGTGGAACAGCAACGTCAGTGCACCATGGTCATGCAGCCTGGTATTTCTTTGTGTTTCCTTTGCTTATTATAGCAAAGATCTTTACAGCAAAAATATGTTCGAAGGGCCACTGTATTTAACCATTTGCTATGAATATTATTGGATTGTACTAATAAGACCCGAATGTATGTAATATTCTATTGGAGTAAATTGATCAGACTGTTGATGCGCTTTTTAGATCAATCATGTAAAAGGACATTAAATAGGTTGGATCTGTAAACTTTGTAACTATAATATGCATACTTAATTTAAATGTAAAGGCTAACGTAATTTAAAAAACACAATTGTTGTGCTTTCAGTTTACTTTATTGATCTGCACAAATTATAAACTACGTTAGATTTTAAAAATATCCTTCTTCTGAGACATTGCAATAATCCAACCTAGAGTTATCAGACACATATACAGAGTTTTATAGTAGCAATAACTACCAAATATGTGCAGACATTAGCCAGTTGAGTTAGAAGGAAAAATGATTTCTTTATTGATTGCATAGACATTCGCCTTGAAGAGATAGAAAAGGAGCCTTTTTTCTTTGCTTCTTGTAATTTTAAAGTATTAAACTTCATTATCATTATGTCATTTTCATTAGTCATTATCATTACAGCAGTTTTGACAATCAGAGGTCTGAGTTTCATCCGCAGGGTTGTGAATGAAAAGTTTTTTTGAAGAGAATTAGTATTTGCGGGGAGACCATACGTAGCAACAGGCAAAACATTTTAGCATTATAGTGTATGCATATTTTATTAGCACTGTGTACTAGAGAAACCTATAACACTATAAGACTGAATGAATCAAAATAAAATTGTGAGAAAACTCCAAACTATAAAACCAATTGGCCTTGTCTTCTATATCAAAACTGTGTTTACAATAGAGACCAAGAGAACAGTGAAGTCAGAAATTACATCTTATACATTTCCTTAGCTTTGCTTAGGCAGCTGCTGTTATTGGTACTTGTCTTATTATACATTAAAGCTCATCGATCTGTGCAAGTTTTCTGGAAAAGAGTGTGTTAGCTCTTCTAAATTTTAAGCATGGTGTACCTGGAAACTTCTCAATAAATGCTTTACAGCTGAAATGCATTCACCCCATTATACATTAAAAACGAATTGAATTGGCATGCTGACCTTTATTGCAAATGTACTGCTGCTGGTCTGAAGTTATAAAGAGTGTACTATGTGACCTGTCAGTGAATGGACTTCTACTTTGTGTTAATGCATCAGTTTGGTGTTTCTAAGATCATTGTGGTCGAATTGTAAGTTGATAAAGTGTAGTTATCTTCTCCAGCATCAGTTGGACCAGCTTCAGTTGGTCCAGGTCAAAATCAACTCAGATAAACAAGCATAAAATAACAAGAAACATTTTGATGCAACACCATTTAGTGTCTCTAAGGTGTTCCTTTCAAAAGGAAGTGGGCATAATCCTTAAACACATAAACACATCCCGTGCTCGCACCACTATCCACTCACTATCAGTGGATGTGTACCCAGATTGGAAGACAGGAAGCACCGAACTGTCCTCATACAACTAGTGAAAATTGGAGTTTACTTAGTTTACTTACAGCATGGGTTGTCAGCTAGCATTGATGGACGCCTTCTATGTACTATCACCTAAAGAAAAAAAAGAAAGGTTCTGCAGTATTTTAATGACAAATTAAAAACAATTAACAACAAGAAACAAGCAAGAAAAAAACATTTTTGTTATCATTTAAATGTAACCATTCAGTGGCTTATTATTCAAAACAATTTGCCACAAACCACAAAACAGGCGTTTAGCTTTAGATAAAACTATAATTTTTCAGTGCTTGGCTTCTGCTTACTGAATACCCAATCATTTCCTTCAAATATTGTAGAGGAAAGCCTTTAACCTTTACCTTTCTGCTTTAGTAGCCCAATACTCCTATAAGATGAGTGTTAATGACAGTGGCATCAATGCATAGCACTGTACAACATCAGGGTACCCAACCAGAGACGTTTTGGTGATGTATTCACTTAAATGGTTAACACATGTACACTGTTGCACTCACGAATAATGGGAAAAAAGGTTTAAAAAAAGGCAAAACAAAGGAAAGTGAGAAGTACGGTATGTGTTCAAAAGTTTTTGGTTCAAAAGTTTGTGCCTGCATATGTTAGCTTTTTTTAAGGAAGCAGCTACATAATGTTTACACATTGCAAATAGAATGTAAAAAATAATGAAAAAAGCAAAATTAACTGCATGGCAAATAACTACTGGCCATTAAAAGTGTCATATTATTCTTGGAAGGTTTTGTGAGAACTCATTAGCCTTTTGTTCTTTTTTAATAGCCAACTCTTTGTCTCTAGGATCTGCCAGTGTGGACTGTTGTTTGTATCAGAAAGCAGCCATTGTTTGTTATTAAAAGGTAATTACAGACCCATGCTATTAAAAAGCCTGCATATCTTTTTACTGTTGTTGGCCTGCTGTTTTATGTGATTCTATGGTTGTTTTATTTTTATGCATTCCTTTTTTGCAAGTGTTTCAGAGAAGTGTTCAGAATAGCTTTTAAGTTTGGGATTTCCCCCCTGTTCAGTACAGTTAAAATAAAGTTGTTGTTTTTTTTTGTAAATTAAATGCATTTGAGGGTACTGATAGATATAACTCAAGTGTTACCTTATTTTGGGTAAATCTTCAGTTACAAGATCTCATTTAGAACTGAGCATTCATTTTTCAATGTGAGAGGAAAGTGTGGGTAGGGTACAGGTTTTTGATATTTATGGTTTCAATAGATTTGTTTTTATCTTGACATTTTATCCTAGAGTGCACTGCCTTTGAAAAAGACTTTTTGACCTGGATTCAGAATGTGTCAAGTCTTCCTTTCCCAAAGACTTTTAAAGGGACAGACTGCATTATGAAGACTGGTAACATTGTAAATGTCATTATTAAATTACACAAGAAACTTACAGCCAAATTCAGAGCACATTACATACACTTTTTCCTGTAGTTGTCCAATGTCCAATGTTTATGTAGGAACTAATTGCTAAGGCTTTTGAATGTTCTTATGTTAAATGAATCTGAAAGGATTTCTTTATCCTACCAATGATCATGCCTTTAATTATATTCTTCTCTCGAGTTACACTATCCGTGGATTATTTGTGGTTTGAAGCGATTTATCTTTTTTTTTTTTACTTTTACTTTTAAACTATCTCAGTGAAGCTGATACTTTCCCTCAAATAGTGTGATTTGTGTACCCCTTTTTGTAAAACCTTACACCCTAGCTTGTGGGCTAGCACATAAGGAAGATTTTGTGTTGATTGAAAAATGTATTTTCCCACAAACCTTGAAGAAATTCAAATTACGTGATATACAAAGCCCCTAGGCTCTAAATCCGTTTCTCACTTGAAGAGCGGGCATGGTTAGAAGTAGTGAGCTTTATTGGGGGTAACTCACCTGGGTGAGGAGAACGACAACCTGTCTCTAAGAACAGGGACGTCATGAAAACCCCCTGCTCTCCCCCCTGGGAGAAGGATGAGCCCCTCCTGCTGCAGAGGAGGGAGGATTGTGTGGATGAGAAGTACAAGCAAGTCAGCCAGAAGCGTGATACTTATACATGGGCAGGTGGAGCTGGGTGAGATTAAGGTTTGACAGCCTCCTGAATTTTTAAAACTCCATGGATTGTAATTGGATTAACCAGAGTGAAACTGATTGGTGGAACGGAAAAGGAAGCAGCCTCCGACAAATTGCCATCCTTCTGTCACAACCTCCCCATGGAGTGTGTCCAATTGGCCACAGAGGGTCACGGGTCACCCTTCCCCTCTCCTGCCTGTCCTGCACTGGAGATATTCGCAGCACCTGCTTATATTGAGAAGTGACCCTGAATCAGGCGCTGCAGGTTATTTAAGACCTCCTCAGTTTCTCCTTGGCAGTCGGCTATTGCATTATCAGCCCCTGCCCTGTCCCTGACTCACAGACAACCAGCCATCATTTCCCGTCGCCTGCATTTTCCCCATCGCCTGATTAAATGCTGACCTGCCTGGGCTCTGGTTGAGGAGCTCCTCTTTCGCTGTGCTCAGCTGCACCTCTCCAGCCTGCTGTGTGCCGCGGGTGGCAGGGTCTTCTGCTGGCGGTACCGTTAAGTGCGGCTGTGGGTTTGGTGAAGCAGCTCCCCACTGTCGGAGCACACACGTCTGGTCCCTGACACGCCCATCACGCTTTGGAATTGTTTTGCAGGACACGACTCACTTGTGGTTCCGTGGTGCCAATGTCACGTTGCATTCTTCCTCTGCATGTTCTCTGGCAGTGGGATCTGCTGCTATGCCAGGCTGGCAGTCCTCCTGGGGTGCTGTGCCCGGCCGTGGGCCCTACGCAGCTGCCAGCTTGGCGGTCCTTCTCTTTCTCCCCAGCCTGCACTCTGGCCCTGTCTCGAGCCAGCCTGCGTACTGCCCGGCCATCAACTTCTGGACTGTGCTTCAGCCTGTCAGCCTCCCTGCCTGCCCCATGTCCCGACCTGCCTCTTTTTGATTCTGCACTGTATCCGGTCCTCTGCGGACACTCTGCCCAGCCTGATCCCAGGCGCGCCTCTCTAATTCCCCTCCGACAGGACTCTGAAGAAGACCGCCAGAAGAGCGCACGCTCCACCCCTGAGGCGCCTCCTGGTGGACCGCCCTGATGCCCCATTCTGCTTGACTCCAGGTGCAGACCAGCCAGGCCTGCCCTGTCCCTGGTTTTCCTCTCTGCTCTTGTCCATGTCAAGCCCAGCCCGTTCTGGGGGGTGCTGGCCACTACCCTTGGACTGTGTCACCCCTGCTCTTGGGTCCGTAACACCTCCTGGACCTCCCCTGCCATCCTGGTGGGTGGTGTGGCATAACACCTCCACAGTGGCTTTATTGACTTTGTAATGGTCTGGGAAAGTGAGAGCTTAGTATCTTCTGGAACCGCATGAAGTGTAGCATGCCCATAGCAGGCCCGACACAAAGCACGGGACTCCACTTTGCGGGAAAGGGATCTGCACACTAAAATTAACTAAAGCCGAACTGCAACTGCAGATTGGAAGGAAAGGTTTTTACTAAAATTATGAATGGGAACTGTGTGGCAGATGAATAAAGTGGGGGAAAAAAATACAGGAATCAGTTTAGTTTCGGGAATTAGATACAGCGTGAAATCAGTACAGTTTGAGCATAAACACTGGCAGTTTTTTAGGGGTGATGTCAGATCAAACCACGTTCAATCAAACCACAGCGATTTCATGAAGCTGGAATCATCTGATCTTTAACACTATGCCAGGACCTAAGCGTTGCACAACACTAACAGCTCTATGAGCAGACTGGGCCATTACAAGAGTCAGTTTCCAGCTGCCCTCAAAATATTCCCTGTTCTGATGCTGCCAGGTGTGGCAGTATGCTTGGTAAAAAGACAGGAGACAAACAGAATGATTATGTTTGAATTAATTAAGTAGATTGGTTTCCCTCACCACAGAAAAAGAAGCATTACTTTCTGTTTAAACAAAAAAAAGAAAAGGAAAATAAAATGAAAAAATAATGTAATGAAAAAGCAGAAATCCTTTAACTAGAGTTAAATGCAATTTCACAGATATACTGTACAATGATAGAAACTTCTGAAAGATATGAATATATATTTTCTGAAAGAATATATATATATATTTTGAATGCATCAGGGAGATACCCTGACCTGACTGTTTACCTAGATCTGAGCTTGGAAGCCTGCCATTAATCACTTTATTAAAAATCATGAACAGAAGTGAAGACGGGACTCTAACGAAATGGAAAAGACATTGGAAAGCAAAACTGAAATTACAGGCAGGAGGCTTGATAGTGCATGAGGTGCTGGCGCATACAAGAGTTAAAATTTTCAACGTGCAACAGATGTTAGGGGACCTTGTACACTGGGAAAACAGCCAACCATTGTAAAATAACGGTAGGTGAAGGGAGTAGTGAGTCCACGAAGAAGTCAAAAACAAGATAGTCAGACTGGGCATTTTGCCCAAGGTTCTGAAGCTACGATTTTTTATTCTGGCTGAAAGAGTATGATAAGTAACTTATAGAATGTCTGGGAAATGTCTGTGTTCTATTGCTATCATAGCCCAGTAGCACTCCTGCACTGTCCCTGTCACCTGGCACCTGGTACTGTAAATGCAGTGGTCCTTAGGCAGCTCTGTGAAGGTTGACACCCCTACCAACACCACAAATAGTAAAGCCCACCAAATTTGTTTGTGCCATTGGAAGTTCAGTATTGAGTAATTTAGTTTTAATAGTAAAATTAAATCTGTCTCCAATATGATCATCTAAACACAACCTTTCCATGTTTATATATTACTATTCCATAAAAAGAGTAAAACACTAGTCTTCTAAGGAGTTTGTCGTTCTAATCTTTTTAAATACTTACTTCGAAAGATGGGTTAAAACTTTAAACATAATTTTTTATGGCATTTATATTTTAAAATGTTAGAATAAGAAACTCCTTAGATTACTTTTTCTTTAAAAAAATATTGACACCCCTACAAGGTATTATGACATGCTAATTAATTAATCTTTCAGGAAAAAGTAATATCGTAATATTCCCTTTTTTAGGTTAACACAGCAGCATTTCTAATTGCATTAAGATATTGGAGACTGATTAAATTTTATTACACAAACCCACACACAAATGATACAGATCAACTACTGTCATTCAAATGGGAAAAATCTCCCCCATTCTGGAAAGACTGAGAAAGTAGTTTACAAGGATCTCTTCAGCTAAAACAAAGTAATTGCCTTTCAATATCAATGCTCTGTTACAATTTGTGCACAGCATATCTACAGTTAAAGAGGAATGGTGCCAAGCCTCCTCACATCAAGCAAACTATTAAGTACATTAACCATTCAGTGTTTATTGAAAATGTATAGCTAAGCTGTGGGGGGTACAATACCTCCCTGTGATCAGATTCTTATCCTCTCCTTCAGTTGAAGGACATTAACATGACTACCCCCCCCAAAAAAGCGCCATATCTTTGGACCGAAAGCAATACTTCTACTTTCAACGAATGAGGTGGGTTTCACTGTTTGAGTGGTTTGGAAGGGAGCCCTAACTTCATGTATTTCCATGAGGCTCCATCCAAGTTCCGGTTCTGTAAGTTGTACGCAGGTAGGTAAAAGCAAAACCCAGCCAAGAAAGTTGGAAAGATGTGCAAGGAAGCCAGCAGGTAAAACACAAGAAGAAGTTCAAAGCAAAGTCGGGAAGAGTCCGGGTGGAAGCACGAGAGAAAGAAAACACAGAGGGAGATCAAGAGAATTGGTCAAAACCAAGAAGGAGTCAGACCGGCAAACCACGAGAATAGACTCAGTGACTGGGACGAGTGATGTTGCCCTTACTGGTCTTTAAATAAACAAAGGTAAGTACTGGTTTAATTGTGCACCAGTGGAACTGATTGGAGAATTAACAGACACCGTGGGGGCTCGTCTGATTGCTGTGGAGATATGGATACAAACTAGAGTCTGTCCAAGACTGGGCATGACTCTACCAGTCGGGGGCTAGCTTGCCAAGTCATGATCTCTTTAAGTGTAGTTTGGGGGTTGAAAGCCAGTTAGTTGCCTCTACAATAGCTGCAATAAATACATCTGAAGACTTTCTGTATTGCTGGGTGCTCCTAGTTAATTTCACCACAACACCATAATTTCACCTTAATAGTCGCAATTAAAGGTTTGACTATAAGGTACAACGTTGCACTTCCGGGAATGTTATTGGCTAAAGAAATGTATGTCTATTTTCTCACAAGCTTAGTCAGCACGGCACACGCAATATGTCTTACACAGTAGTCTCTTAGGTATTGATATGCAAGCTGCCTCTTTCACGAACAGCATACAAAGACTGTAAATCCTCAGCTCCATCAATCCTAACCTTTTCTAATGGAATCAATTGGAAAGTTTTTGATTCAAGATCAAAAAGATCTTTAACATGGCATCAGAGTTCTCATCAATTGTATGCTGATGGAGACAATACGCAACAATACGATTTAGCAACTAAATGTTTCTACAATACCACATTAAACACCACATGTTTAGCTTGATTAACAGCACATTCTTTATAGGATGATGGGATGAGCAACGTTATTCAGATAAGGATAACTTTAGTACAGTAAACAAGCTAGTAAGCAGCTCAACATAAAATAGATTAGATTAAGATAATTCGGTTCCAACTGTCACAATTCTGGCTGATTCAATCGACGCTTTGAAATGCTGGAACTGAGTTTTTCAATTTTTTTAAATATCGTGAAGGCTGGTAATGATCACAATGCAAACAAACAGTAACCTCAACTTTACAAAAGTTGTACAGTATGCTTAGCAAAAAATGTTGTATAATATTTTTCCTTTGGTACCTTTATGCAAGGAACTTATAATGATAAGCTGACAAGAAAAAGCTGATGTGTAGTCGACCTTTTTCATTTTGTCTCATGAGGTGGTCACATAATGAAGTATTTGTTGCTCCTTAACCTTCATGGAGAAACGTGATCCCCGAGAAGGAGACTGTAACAAAATCAGTTCAGTAACAGTGTCACAGGATTGCCCTTCCCATCTGCCTGTGAGGGCAGTACTGTTAATCAAATTAAACATGTGGTGTGTCTCTGTCTGATTGAGGACGTCCTCCTGGCGATCCCCCTGAACTCCCTGCGAGTGCTCGCCGCCGTCGGTCTCCACTCGCTGCTCTTCCAGGTCAACATGAGGTTTGAGGAGCTGCTGAAAGAGGTGGGAGCCTTCTCCAGGTTCCAGGGAATGGTGGTGCTTCTCCTCTGCATTCCCAGAATCATCCTCCCCCTTCACTTCCTGCTGCACAACTTCATTTCTGCCGTGCCTCCTCACCACTGTGCCGACCCACCCTTGGAGAATGGCAGCGCTTTGGCTGAAGCAACTGAGGCCGGGATACTCTCGCACACCATTCCCCGGAAACCCGATGGCTCGCCCAGTTCCTGCTCTGCCTTTCTGTACCCCGTCGGGAACCTGTCCAACAGCTCTTCTGCTGTGCCCTGCCAGCACGGCTGGGTGTACGACCACTCACAGTTCCACTCCACCACTGCCACGCAGGTGAGTTACGCCATGCTGCACGTTTCCATTTCATTTCCCTTCCCTCGGGTTCAAATCCGTTTTTAAAGGATTTTTTTTTAAAAAAAAGCTCCACCAGGAGCTCCGTTCCATGTCACTGATTGGACACTGATTTTAGTCTGAAATGTAAAAGAATAAGGACTGTAAGTGAGCTAGGCTTGCAAAAAGAAACAGCAGTCAGTGTTCATTTGGGGATTGCTGAGACTGCTGTTCTCTCACTATCAGTTTTTGTAGTGTCATATTTAAAAAGATGTAGTCAAATGGAAAACAATCCTGGGAATTTTCCTTTATCCCTCATGCCCGATGCGTTTCCTGCTGGAATCACTCTGCTCTCCTCTTGTTAATTAAGAATTCCAGACAGCCAGAGAGTCTGCACTGGTGCTGTTGAATAGTGAATCTGAGTTTTCTACCTGACTAGACTTAAAGTAGTTAATCTTTCTGTGACATCAACACCTGTGGTTTTCTACTGAGTTATCATCATTGCCCTGGGCTGTCACAGTTTCAGGCTTCTGTATTTTAAGTAGTTTTTTTAACGCATGTTCTTGGAAGAAGAAATCTCTGCTGAGATAAAATAATGACCAACATAAGGCCAAGACACCCAAGCAGCAGCCTGCATGTACTGTAGGTGTGTTCCCAGGCAGAATAAAGGGTCTCTGTGAAAACCAGCTCTAAAACGAATAGGACCATATGTACTGAGAATGTAGAACTTGCTTTCTACTACCATGAAAAAATCTTGCTTGCTGGGGGCTTCCTTAAAAAAAGTTCTTTAAGAGCTGCCACCTGTGTACTGCACACAGGTAAACAGAGCTTGTCTGCTGAGATTTTCAAAGCAGCACGTTTCCCTCGACACTGTAATGTTGTCTTTGATTAAGTAATTGAAGTGAAATTATTCCAGACATTCTGTTATTTAAGTGTTTTTTAGACAAACAGCTTATTCTGTGTCACAGCTTGCTGGAGAGATGGATATTATGAGCACTTTTCCCCTTATTCACCACACAATCAATGAACATCACATGTTAGATGAGCCCGCTGAATAGTGTGTTTGTCTCTCAGACTATTTCGTCTGACGAAAGAGGGGCAATGTATGTTAACAAACTGCAGAAATTTCCTCTATGTTGGGAGCATGCAGCCCATCGTGTGTTACTTGAGGAACTGAGTTTGCTGTGACTATAAGAAAGAGCAGAACAATCTATATGTTTTGACTGGCTAAAACAAATGCTGATACTGGATAGCACTAAGTAATGAAATAAAACTAGATGCTATTTACAGTATATTGAACTCATCTTGCAAAATATGGTTTAAAACTTTTGTATCTGAGCCCAATATTTTATGCTTGTAGCCTTAATTTAGGTGCTAATAATTTGGAACAGATAGGTATGTAAAAAAATATTCCCTCTGGTTTGCCAGTAAAATTTGTACATGTTTTTCAAACCCAAAATAACTGGACATTAGGCTTAACCTGGTTGTTGATCAGAATTAACCAGCTCTGATTTTAAGTATCAATTCTGCCAAAGGAACTGTAGAGGATTCGCAACTGCCTCCATGAATGCCAGCTACAATTACACTCCATTCTCTTATAATACTTCCCTATGGTTTGCAAAGGCAAGAAGGGTGCAAACTTTGAGAAAGAAAGGATATGAATCAAAGGAAAACTTGAACCGATTGTAAATCTGGGGATACAGGGGTTCCAAACCCACTGATGTTCAGGGGAAGGAGCTGTGTGAAGGTTTTTGTTGAAGGTTTACATTGTCTTCACAGACGTACTGTATTTAAATTGCCATTCCTTATGTCAGTCATGCAGCAGCCTTTACCAGATGAGTGGGCTGAAGCTGAATGCATGTGCCAAGCATTTGTCATCAGTGCATATTCATATTGATGCACATCAAAAAATGTCCTTATTCATTAGTGCCTCACATTAGTGTGATATTAGTCTGTTCTTTTTTTTAATTGCTTTTGCAGGTGACATTATAGCCTCAGTTTTCATTCTGTAGCAAAATTAGCCAGTAAATCTGCCAGTGAAATTATTCTTTGCACTTCTGCCATGTGAATGTTTGTTTTATTCAATCCACCTGTCAAACAATGTGGTAAAATACACTTCATGTGAATAGTAAAATTCACAATTCACAAATGTCTGTGCATGTTTACTGGTTAGCAAATAGTTTGTAAATCGTGTCATTTGACAATGCTGACTACAATTTGCACTCTAAGTATGCGCTTGTATTCAGAATCCAGTGCTGCTAGCAATGTTAAGAATTATTCAATAAACCTCTTTTAATTTTTCACATTTGGGTTTGGTGACTGTTATGTCTTTGTTTGAATGCATGGTTTTTCTTTTAGGTTTTTAACCATTTCTCTTTCTGCATTGACAGTGGGATTTGGTGTGTGACAACAAAAAACTGAACCAAGCTCTCGCGACATTCTTCTTTGTTGGAGTCACTCTAGGAGCAGTGATATTTGGCTTCTTGTCAGATAAGTACGTTTTCAGAGTCGCTCACTTCAGTCAATGGTGTTTAGGAATCCCAAGATTTTGACTTTGTGTCTTAATTCTTCTCTGTGTCTTTAATTGTTGTCTATGTAGAGTAGATAGCAAGTAACATAGTAAACACCTATGAATCTTGTAGGACTATTTGGTAGTGATAACTATAGAATTAAAATGTATTCATTATGAGTTTAACACTGCAAATCTTTTCAGAAATACAGCTGCTTATAGATTTCTGAACTCATGCTGAGCCTTATGTAAACAGTCTACAGTACATATTTCTAAACATGCTGGGGGTTATAGAAGTGTTGTACAGATTTCAGAACTCGTGTTGAACATTATGTAAGTGCAGTACAGTGATCTGGTTGTGCTTAATTATTGATATATATAGTAGGTTTTTTTTATATCTGTGGAACATCATGTCTTTTGAACTTCTCAGGCTCCAGAAGGAAACATACTGTAATGGAAAATTGTTTCCTGAAAAATGTCACGTATCAAATAAAGATGATTACTTAAGTAAATCAAATGTCATCTTTAATCAAAAGAATGTCGCTAGATGCGTGTTTTTGGAATCATTAACAAACCACCAGGAATAAAAATGACCACTGAATGATTTACCTACAGTAAGTCAGGTCAGTGTAATGACAAATATGTTTGTTTCATGAAACCTTTCAGCTGTTAAACTCCAGTAAAACTTTCCACCAAAGGACAATAAGTTAGTTTGTAACAACGTGCATTGTTTTCTTCTTTCTCATTAAAAGAAAAGAGCAATTAAATCTAATTAACCTGGGTTCTAGAAGTCTGACTCAAGAAACAATAATTTACCTTTTGCTCAGTCTGCCTTTTATCTGTTGAATTGTAACAGCTGGCAAGATAAAACTGGCTTCTGCAGTTTACATTTTCCTTGAAATAAATGAACATTTATACACACATGGTGTATTTTATGCAATTGTAACAGTATTTAAAATAAGAAATGCTCTGTACAGTATGTGACACAACTTAGTTCTCTGTGGAACACATTCATAACTGTCCATAAGTCAGTCATAGTCACTGTGGCATAATCATGAGAACCAAAGACTGGACAGTATATTTACTGTACTGATCAATCTGGGTGATACAGCATGCATACCTGAGTATAAAGTTGTGGATGTATTCTGCTTCTTTAGTGGAATCATGAATAACATCTGGAAAGGTTAGGTTACATCTGATAACCCTAACAACATTTTCAGAACGAGTGGTGGTTACTCAAAGTGTACAGCAATATACAAATACTTCTAGTAAAAAGAAACTTTGTGCAATTTCTACCTTGAAAACAGTAGCCTTCATAAAGCTTAGTAAACAAACTGTAGGTGTCAGAGTGGGATTCAAAATAAAGACTCATACCATGCTTTTAATGACCAGAGGCTCCAACATTATAAGGGGATTTTATACATATATATAATATAGATATAAGGGGATTTGTCCTGCTGTGGAGAATGATGACTGTGATGAGTAGCTCCTGAGCTCACATTTTTCCTTCTGCTTTGTGTCTGAAGGTTTGGGCGCAAACCCATGCTCCTGGTCTCATTCGTAGCGTCTGCTGTGTTTGGGATAATCAGCGCTTTCTCTGTCTCCTATGTGATGTTTGCTGTAACACGGACACTGTGTGGTATTTCCCTGACAGGAATGTCCATCATTTCCATTGCCTTGAGTAAGTGAATTTGGTTTTTCTTATTCTGCCAAACATTAAGGGTGCTGTAGCCCAAATTTTTTATTATTATTTTAATTTTGACCTACAGGATTTCTGTATTTTATATGGTCTTTTCAGCAGGTGACTGGAAATTACTTAAGAAATTACACTAGATGAAACAAGCATGTGATTTCCTTCCCACTTTATACTTTTTGTTATATTTAGACCTCTTCCACACAATACTGTATACAGTACATGGGGAACTAGAGGAACTAAAGGAGTCCTTGGACACTGCCTCTCACCTAGAGGAATAAAAGCTGCTATTACATTTTGGACATTTTAATGACCAGCTCCAGTTCTGATTGGAGAACGTCTGTTCTTTTCAGTGTAGAAACATAAAAAGTTTAAATAATTCAAGGAATCTTCATTTATAAAACTGTATCTGCACCTGTTTGCTGATTAGTTGATAATCTTGAATCTAAGATTAAAAAAGGAAATGTATTTCTTAATACCAGCTTTCGTTCTCAAAGAGAACTGAGCTTGTCAGTGTCCTTGTTTTATTCATATCCAACATGTGGCATGTAAGTATGCAACTTGTAGTATAGCTTTTTACACAATCTTTCATAAGGGCAAATTAACTGGCAGTTCTTTCTCCAAAGTGTTGTGATTGGATGAAGAAATGATGAATTTCTTCCAGAATATCCAGAATTCAGCTCGACTGCATAGTTTTAACACACACCCTAACCTCCTTACCACACAAGGCGTTCCTTGTCAAATATATGTGTGTATGCACATGGATACCGACCATTTCTCAGAGCCCCTGGGGCCTGTAAATTTACTTCATTTTCATCAATAACATATTTTATTGAAATCACAATTCAAATTATTTGTACTTAAAGATGTTTATCTCAACATGGCTATAAAACAGAGACTGAACTCACTGTTCTTTCCATTAATAAGGTCATTCATTCATTCATTCATTCATTCACAGGAACCCAAAGAACCACTGTTGGCTCTGCTGCTGATCGCTGATCGCAGCCAATGACCAGCCAAACCTACTTCTTGACACTGCTGACCCAGTTCTTACTGGTTTTCTTTGGGTGATGTCCTACACAGTTACAATGACTGCACAAGAGATGGCTGGGTAGGGCCAAGTGGTTCAGCTCTCCTGAGCACAGGCTGAGTTCTATGATCAGAAACTAGCACTTGGATAGTGTCTCCAGTAGCCTGGGACTGGGATTCCCAAAACAAGGGCACACAAATGGTTAAGGTCTTCTGAGTGTAGACTGGGATCAGTTGGCCAGGGCTCTCTGGGCTCTCCGCAACACAGGGACTCTTGGGATTGACAGGCTTCAATGCTATTGGTTAAGAGTCCGCCTCTTATCCAATCAGTTCTCCCCCGGTACAGGATACCTGAGGCGTGTAAAAAGGCAAGTGACCTGAAGGCAGGTGGATTGGAGGAGTCTGCATGCATCACCTCATTCTCCACTGGGTACAGTTGTGGGGGTTCACAATTGCGAGCAGGGATGTGAGAAACTGGCAATTCCAGATCTGATTAATACAGCAACATGTAATTGTTGATTTTCTGAATAAAAAGTAGGGGTAGGATATTAAATTCTGATCTGGTTTTAATTTTAAACTTCAAACTGGGAGGCCATCTGCCTACAGTGGAGATGAGCTCTCATCGAAAACTCATATCCCAGGAATGGATAATTGGAAAGTTCTCCACTTTACTCCCTCACACGTTTCAGAGAGCAGAAGTTAAAATCACCGCAACAGATGTAAAATGATATAAACATTTTCTCATCTTTTTTCCAGGTGTAGAATGGACTGATGTTGAGCATCGCACTTTTACTGGCACTATCAATGGCCTGTCTTGGACGGTTGGCAACATGTTGCTGGCCTTGCTCGCCTATTTCATCAGGGACTGGAGGCAGCTGACTCTGGCGGCAACGTCCCCTTGTCTCATTGCCATCGTTGCCTGGTGGTAAGAGCAGTTGCTGGACAAACGTTTCATTGCCAGCAACAACTGCTGCGTGCTGTATTGTTGTGCATTTGAGAAATAAACTTTGATTTGAACAAACCAGCATGACCATCTTCACAGCAGCGGTGATCCGAAACAGTCTGCAGTTCTCAGCAATCCAGCCTTTGGCCTTCACTGCAGCCAGAGCAGCTGAGGCCCTGTCTTCATGTGAACGCGAGTCAACCGAAACAAGGAATGTTGCAGTCAAAGTCATGTTCTAAATTGGTGCACTGTGGCATGATATGGTATATTTATCTGAGCACTTCTTTCCACTCTCACAGCACTGCAGTTTGCAGTATTAAAACTGGAAGAAAGGAACAGCCGTAATGGCTGATTTTCATCTTCTCGCAGGCATGGAAGGGGCAAAGTGGAAGCTATGTATTGCCTCTGGTGCTCAAAGGGCGCTGCACCTCCCCTGTGAGCTTTTCAGCGTGTTTGCTGTAGCTCCCCATGACAGTATGGTTTCAGCAGGTCCCTCATCTCTAACCCTAAATCTAAACAAATCCTACTCAAGGGGCAGCTGCCAATAATCCTGTTGTCCCAAAATTATAGTTAGAAGGCTTGTAGCATGATGCCTATAACCCCAATAACTGCTTAAATAACTACTGCTTTACCACAGCTGGAGGCCTTGATTGAGGAAATACATTCAGTACCTTTATATTAAAGCCTAGGCTCTGAGCAGTTCTGTTTGTGAATAGTCTGAGATACAGCTTTGCTTTTAACCTTCTTAGCTGGGGGAATGAAAGCAAGACCATAAGGATGGTAGGAATAAACCAAGGAGCTGCTGCATGGGTGATGACAAGCCATAGTGAGCTTGACTAGTACTGAATTCACACTTAACTAAGCATGCTGCAGGATGAACTCCTCATTCAAGCCTTTTTTCAAGCATTACAATAGGTGATGCTATCTGATACCCTTGGCTATCTGATACTCTTGTGTGATGGTACAGTACATAGTTCCCTCTGTGTTTATCTTCCCAGGTGGATCCCAGAGTCTGCAAGATGGCTGTTAGCTAATGGGAAAGCGGAGCAGGCTCATAAGTATCTGTCTCAGTGTGCAAAAATGAATGGCAAAGAGGGGTCATCCTCCATGATGAACACAGAGGTAAGTGATGGACACAGACTGCAGCAGCTATATGTCAAATGTGAATCTGAATGACAATGACTGCAGCCATAGACAATAACCTCAATGCCATGGTTCTTATGCAGCTACCTAGTTCCACTTTTGGGTAATCATGTTATGCTCTTTTAAAATTGCTTCCCAATTTTCTGTGTCTGTGTTTGGTTAGGCACTGAGCAAAGTAACGATAGCAGAGGATTCCAACACAACCTATTCCTACTTGGATCTGGTCAAGACGCCGAAAATGAAAAGAATTACTCTTTGTTGTGGACTTGTCTGGTAAGAACAGCATGTAAACTTCTGTCTCTTCCCTTAATTAACAACACTCCTGCAGTTTTCAACTCCTGTGGCAACTCCACAGTTGGCAGCAGGCAAAACCACAGTCCTGAGGAGGAGCCAGCTGGTTACAGATTCACAGACTTCCTTACCTCAGTATCGATCTGCTTTACTCTGCAACATGAGGTATGAAGGGAAAAAGGTATCTTTAGCAACCCTTTCAGGTGTGAAGTAAAGCTTAATAATATAAGATCATCATATTTTGTTTTAAAATTAACAGACCTTAAATCAGAAATGACCTTTTAGGACTAACCCCCCCCACACACTGTATTTTACTTTTAGAAACTGTCCAGGAGTACCAATGGCTCCTTCAGTGTCCCCACAATGTTGCACACAGCCACAGCTCTCTCAATACCTCCAAAGCACAGCGGCTGTGTGCAGAGTGCAGGAATCAAGGCCAGAGGCTTTCAGTGGACATTTTTAATCGGACTGTTTTTGAAAGAAAATTTGCTCAGTTGCATTTTACCAGCACCTGGCTGAATTGTTTCCAATCCAATTGCGTTAATTTAATTCGACCTTCTTTCATTTTTTTTGTTTCATAGGTTTGGAGTTGCTTTCACATATTATGGCATCAGTTTCAAAATCACAGGGTTTGGTGTCAACATGTACCTCACACATTTTATATATGCTGCAATCGAGGTGCCTGCCAAAGTTGGTACCTACTTTGTCCTTGATGCAATTGGGCGAAGAAACGGCCAGGCGTGGTCCCTTATTATCACAGGAATCTTGATTGGAATTAATACAGCCATCCCTACAGGTAACAGAAATAACATAGCTGTCCTACAAACATGACGTAATACCAATGCAATCTGTTATGTCTCATTAAAGAGAAAGGCTCTGCTATCCTATACAAGTAGTGACCTTATCAGTTGTGTCAAATTGTATTTTTATATGACATCTGTAGCTGGCTGGAACCAGATTATTTATTTAGAGTAGGAAGAGTTTGTTTCCACTGATTGCTTCCATGTGAAAACCAGTTGAGGTTTTGTGCTTAAAAAAACACAAATCTCCCCTTGAAATTCAATTTGCACCATAGGACACAAAGAAAACAAAGGTTTTGATTATGAATGAAAATTAAATGTAAAAATGCTTTGTCCCCATCCTGGAAAACACACAGCACTGCTGATGGTTTGCTTGACTTGTTTAGCACTGTTCAGAAAAATAAAACCTAGTGTGTACACAACTAAATATGTTTCAGTATTTCCTCCTTGTTCGTTCTCAATTTTTTAGACAATTTGCACAGTTGCAAAATGTTTTGAATGAAAAGTTCCTTCTGAAGAACGCATCGTGAAAGAACAATATATTTTGTAACTCAATAACTTCCCATTTCTTTCCAATAACAAAATAACACACTGAAATCATAAGAATGTTGCAACTTTAAATTTTTAATGATGTTTATTGTAAAGACATACAGTACAACCCATTTATTCTTTCTTACTTTTGTAATGTCAGATTATTTTAATAGCCTTATTCATGCCTTATTCATGTGCCTTATTCATGTGACAGTCTTCAATTCTCTTTAAATTTACTATAATACTTTTCTGGTGACACTGAATTCCATTAATATCAAAATTCATAAGGAATTCACAGAATGCACCCTTTGTCTTACATTGGATATTCCACAGCTATCTGTTCTAATTTAATAATTGAAAGCGCTCTGGAAATACTTTAGGAAAAGCTACGCTTTAATGGATCGCCTTTGTAATATTTAGTACAAGATATTTAATTATTCATTTTTATTATTATTATTATTATTATTATTATTATTATTATTATTATTATAAACCTAGAGCTAAGTGGGACCATGCTGGGTTCTCAGAGCACGCTTCTTCCTTCCTCAGATCATGGGCTTCTACGTACAATCATAGCGGTTCTTGGAAAGGGCTTTTCAGAAGCTGCATTCACCACAGCGTTCCTCTACACCACTGAGCTGTACCCCACCGTCCTGAGGTAAGAACACTCCATTGCGATTAACTGCTTACGGTGTGTTTTGAAGCAGTCATGAGTCCTAATGAATTGATTGCTTTGGGCTCTATACACAGTTTAAATACTTGTTTGTTCAAATCTCATCACCCTGCAACTCACAACTGACAACCCCCTGAAACTAAGCCGGTGTGAGCCTAGTCGGTGCAGAGATGGGAGACCTCCTCGGAAAAAGTAAGGCTGCTGCTGGAAGTGGTGTTAGGGCCAGTAGTGGGCTCTCACCCTGCAGTCTGTGTGGGTCCTAATGCCCCAGTATAGTGATGGGGAAACTATACTGTAAAAAGGCGCCATCCTTCAGATGAAATATAAAACTGAGCTCCTGATTCACTGTGGTCATAAAAAATCCCAGGGCTTCTTGAAAAAAGTTGGGGTGTATCCCCAGCGTACTGGCCAAATTTCCCGTTGGCCCTTACCAATCATTGCCTCCTAATAATCCCCATCTATGAATTGGCTTCATTACTCTGCTCTCCTCCCCACTGAGAGCTGGTGTGTGGGGAGCGTACTGGTGCACTATGGCTGCCGTCACATCATCCAGGTGGGGCTGCACATTGGTGGTGGTGGAGGGGATCCCCATGACCCATGTAAAGCTCTTTGAGTAGAGTGTCTAGAAAACCTCTGAATAAGTGTAAGGATTTATTATTATAATTACTGTCACACAGCACTGGAGCTTTGTACTCTGAGAACAGGGAGTATTTTGGTACACTTTTATTGCAATTTTGTTAAGGGTGGTAAGGGTTTGCAGCAAGATACCTGGCTAGTTCCAATTTCTAAACATGATCCTGGTTCTAGCTACTAGAAATCAAAGGAGCCAGACTGGCTTAAAGTCCTCCTCTCGTTTCCAGACCTTTCTGTGTGTTTAGGGTCTTTAAAACTCTTGTTTCCCACGGGCTTTTCTGCAATGCTCAGTGATGTGTATGAGTGCTCTCCTTCTGTGAGCAGGCAGTGTGGTCTAGGTTACACATCCTTCATGGGCCGGCTGGGGGGTTCGCTGGCGCCGATGATCATGCTCCTGGAAGACGTCTGGACCTTCGCACCTTCCCTGGTCTTTGCGGGAATGGCTGTTTTCTGCGGGTGCATCGTATTCCTGCTGTCCGAAACTCTGGGCATCCGACTGCCGGAGACAGTCACCGACGTCGAAGAGGGAAGGTACTTACAGTTCAAGAGAAGCCTATTATTTGCAGCAATTCTGCTTATGCCTATGGAAACGTATCCTTATCCGCTGTGCATGGGCAGGATGTGAAGAGTCTTTTTTATATTTTTGATTTCCTATTATAAAGAAATTGATATTTCTCTTCATTACATGCAGTCAGACAAGTATCAAACTATTGCAGCGAACAACAGAAATCAGAATACCATTCGGAAATGTCTATCTTTCTATATGAGAAAGGAAAGGATGATTTGATGTTATACAGAAGATCTAAATGATTGATAAAGCCCTCCAACAGCTGGTTAGAAAGGAATACAAAAAATGTTATGAGTTACATTTCTTTCTAACAAGCTGAAGAAGTTCAGTAATTGTTTGCTTTTAATTTATCTGTTCACTGCAGCCCAACCTATTATCTGTCTTTTCACCTGTGTATTTATCTGGTAGTTTAATACAAAATGTTTTTTTTTTACTTTTAGGCATAAATCTAATACTGAAAGCCAGACAACTTGTGAGAATCCTAATGACATAAATTTATTACCAATGACCCCAAATGGAACTGAGAGAGGATAAAGGATTTGTATTACCCTGGAAGTTGGCTTTGATCCTGGGCCAAATGGGTATCACTGGAATGAAATACCCTTGGCTTTGTCCTGCAGGACTGGAATAATGAATGCCACTTATATTCAGTCAAGTCATGTCTGTGTGTGCTCTGAAGCTTTCCACTACTGATTAGGATCCGTAAAGGGACCATAAAGACTCTGGTATCATTAACTCTGGTATCCTAGCTGAATTCCACTCTGGGCTTGCATTATCTGACCTCCCAAAAGTTCCCCACTAATTCAATTAGTGAAGCAGTTCATCGGTTCTGCCCTGATCTACTGTACCGTGGAGCTGCTAGTGCCAAATAACTGTTGCAAGTCACTCAGGTCCATTTCACACTTCTGTGGATGGTTGAAGTGAATCTCCTACAACGTAAAATGCTTTGGGATCTTTTTGGATGTAACTTCTATATAAATGCAAAGCATTGTTATCTATTTGTCAGTTTAACATTCAGGAAGATGATTTTCTGGCAATCATGGAACATATTTGCTCAGTCTACATTTCAGCCAATTGGTGGTATCTGCCTTCAGTTAGCACACTCCACTAATGGCAGCTATTCCTTTTCCTAAGCACACTTTTCC